ATTGTCTCATATATATATATATATATATATATATATATATAGAAACGTCACTTAGCCCAAACCCAATATTAAGAAAAAATATCAAAATATTGAAAAGGGACACTAAAATACGATAAAAAAGTCACAAAACTTAAACCAATCTTGATAAAATGTCAATAACTGCAATCCAAAACCCAATATTGAAAATGGGCAACAGATCCAAACCCAAACTTGAACAAACAAGCGAAAACAAAAACCAAATTTGAAAAACAAACAAATCCAAACCCAGTGTTAAAAATGTTGCCAAAACATAAATCCAAAATCGAAATGTACTAGTTTTTTAAAACCTAATCGAAGTTGGCTCAAATCAGTGAGCTCAGGTTGCCAAAACACCGCTATTCCCACCACTTCAAGTCGCACAAAAGATCAGTTTTTATACTCTTAAGCACAAAAAAAAATTTAAATCACCAAGAAAAATCTCACAGATCTTCTTGATTCTTCTTCTCTCTCATAATCAAGCTAAAAGTTCTGGATGGGAAGAGTACCCACTAAAACCCTTTCGTTCCTTTTAGGGAGAGGAAAGGACCCAAAATTCCCTACCCAAGGCCATTTTCCACCTCAGGCAAGGGGAATGAGGTGCCCACCTTGGCCCATAAGGGGCCCAAGGTGATAGGTGGGTGCCTAGTCAGGACCTTGGCCCAATAGGCCAGCATGTTTTTCCTAGTTGGGATCTTGGCCCAAAAGGCCAGCATGTTTTGTAAGTCCCCACACTCAGTGTCCACATATCCCTAGGGAATGCACCTAGGAACTCGGCCACCTCAAGACCCAGGCGCCTAGGCAGACTGAATTTTAAAACAAACTTGACCCACCTCCAGATCCAGGCACCAAGGTGGGTTGAATTTTACAAGAATGGACTCACTAAACGAGTAGATATCAAACTGTATCACTGCTAAGGATAACAGATATGCAACTATTGATAGCCAAGTTAAGCATAAGAAGGGAATGGGGTTGAGATCGTGGTGGTAGCACCACTTGAGCGTCAGCTACCGGTCTAGGTTTCCAGTCTCACTGACACATTCGAAAACCGCTAATTATTTATAAAAACGGGTAGGGGCCAGTATTCCCCACTGATATACCCAAAAAAAATAAAAGTGAAGTGTAAGAAAGAAGTTCCCAAAGAACATTGAAACTTTGTTCATCCCTTGTATCCTCATGAAGTTAGCATCCCCATTAGCAAATCTGAACTTCAAATCCAAAGGACATGATAAAAACTTATACACTCTATGTTATTAATATCTCTTTCATGACATCCACCATCCTCCATGTATAACATTTTTCCGATCAGCCAATCCTATAACATTCACAGGATTCCCCGCTATCATCAATGATCCTGAGAATGACTGCCAAAGCCCAGTAAGATCAGAGTCTAGCAACCCTCAATGCCATTGGTCACATCTCTAGAACTGTCTCTGGAACTGCTGCCATAACAGAAAGCAGAGGATCACCATGTGAACTTCCACCAAAATTAATTTCACAAAGGCCTACAGGTGGCACCACTAGCCTGGAGATTTCTACCAGACCAGAAATTACAAACCATATTCTTGTAATCGGAAACAATTTCAATGTTCCAACTTCTAAATATCATGGAACTCCTGAACAAGAGCAGTATCTTCATTGTGTACCTGATACAGTCATGGATTGAGGCTAAACTGTAGCACATCCTTGTAAAAATCATGTGGTTCCTTCCCATACCAATCATCATTCACACTCGGAGAGAAGGAATGGTGCACAAAGTTTCTCAATTCTAAAACAAAAGAAAGTAAAGCATTTCTATCACCACAACAAAGCCCTAATCCATACTTATAAACTAACCTAAACAGCTCACCTGGCCATCACCAGCCAAAGGCATCGAAGGATCTTGATGAGAAGCAGCAGGTGTTGGGAGCTCACCACCATGGGTTTTATGCCTTTCATAATCCAAAAGTGCCTGTAAAACCAATCAGAAAGAAAAATTACATGATTGAGAAACAACTAACAATAATGACTTTTCTAATTCCAACTGACGCATAGCCCATTAGGTGATTCCATCATATGTCAAAAATAACTCCTTCCATCATATGTCAAAAATAACTCCATGACTTATAAAGTTAGTGTTTGCAAACAAGATTGGATCTGCTGGTACAAATCAGTTTTGGTCCAAGTTGCCCATATCATGCATCGAAGACACGAGAATCAGGAAGGGCACCAAACAGGAATACAGCCAAACCCAAAAGTCACAGACCAACTGAGCCAGTTCACCAAGCCCAACCACTCAGGTTATTTTAGATACATTTTATGTTTACACAAGATACCCTTTGTTATGAGAATGCAGGACAGTGGTGGGAGTCCAAAGTCCGCACTAGGCTTGCAACAGGCCAAACCGAACCTGGCCCTCAGGCCTTGCCCTTTGACATGGTTTGGCTGGGCGGGCCAGGTCATGCCCAGGCCAGGCCTTTTATATGTGATGGGCCTAGGCCAGGCCAGGCCTTTTATATGTGATGGGCCTAGGCCAGGCCTGGCCGGATAAGAAATCCGGACCATTCCCCAGGCGACATAAATGGCCCAGGCCTGGGCTTTCACTGGACCGGGTCTGAGCAATTGCCAGCCAAAGGAAAACCAGCAGCATTAACTACATAACCAAATCAGAACATCTGTCCTTTTTTTTTCTTTTTAAGTTGGTTTTTCTACTACAAGCAAACATGGTGGAGGAAACACGGACTTCCAAGGAGGTAATATGTCTTAATAATCACACTTTTGGGGGTTAGTTACCGTAGTACTATTCTTGACAGTTTAGAAGTATATTTCAATTGATGGTTCACAACACAGTCATTCAAACTCTTGCTTTCCTTCAATGATGAAATTAATCATAAAAAATTCTAATAGATTAATTCCATCAATGCCAAGCCAGAGAATAGTAAGTGGAATCAGATTTTCAACTCTTTTTTTCTTTTTGGGCTATCAAAATATTCATTTTCTCCATAGTTGCATAAGATGGTCAGATCTTAACTAAGCCCTAAATTGTCCTCATAAGGTATGCAAACCCACTCCAAGAATGAGAATACTGTTGCATTTGGCACACACACACACATGCACGCACACGCATGCACTCACATCCAAAACACACACTAACACATATGCACAGATCAGAAATTAGAGAATTTGAAGACCTGGAAGCATTAAATTACTAATTAAATCCATCTACTGGGTGTTTTCATGTGTAAGAGAACGAGTAGGACAGCTAGGTTTGCTATTTGGACAATAATCAAGAGTTTGAATTCACAATCCATCTTACAAAGCAGGTGTTTTGCCGGACTAAAGGCCCAGGAGCAATCAAGCATTTCAATTTATATACACCTCATATGTGCTAATGACGCCGCCAAAGAACAAAAGATCATTGAACCAGAAATTAAATATTGCCAATACACTAGATGACTAGATTCATCAAGAAGTATCACCTTTTCATAGAAACATCGAAATGACCATGAGACTGTAGTGCAAGTCCTGCAATATGGGAAGATGCCAAACAGAGAGTTAGCCATCATCATAAGTATCATGAATAATGGGGAGAAGAGTGGAGACATCATAAAATCATTAAATAAACACATCTTTCGGTGAAAAAGCAGCAGCGAAAAAATGAAGATATGTAAAATATAAATAAAAATAATGGGTTGGAATCAATAAAGCAAAAAAAAATTATGCAACTCCACTTAGTTAATGAATTTCAATCAACATAATCCAAATATACACAATTCCAAGTGCATGATTTCTGCAAAGTTCCATTTGCATTTCTGACTAGCAATAACCTTATTCTTTTCATAACGCAATTCATTCTCTGTTCCTCTAATACCAAAAAAAAAAAAGATTCATAACGCAATTCATACTCAGTTCCTCTAATACCCAAAAAAAAAAAAGAATTAGCGAGAGAGAGAGCGCCACACAGCCCTGAGCCAAAAGAAATACTGACTCAGTGTAAGCATCCTAATATTGATGTCAGCCTGAATAACTAATGCATGATCCAAGGAAACATTCACTTCCTTTATGTTTTCAATTAACAGTTTTCATTAGTAGAAAATAAACAAGAGAAAAAAAATGAAACAAAGATTCATTCAAGACAATAGCCTACTTACAACCAAGAATTTCAAACGTATATTTGACAAACGTTTTAAAGAAAATTAACTAGTAACAAAGGAGTCATTAGCAAATGTTTTAATGGACCATTAGGTGTTAATGATTCATCGTAGGCAGAACTAAAAACAAAAGGTGGTAAAAACTAAGAAGGAAAAGGAAAAATAATGAAGTGCCTTGCCAGTCATGACATTCCCCTTATGCAAAACAGAAAAAATGATAGATTTTTTCCATTTGAATAAATGTGCAGATCTAATATACTCATAAAAAGTGTTAAAAAACTATGTAACTTCTTACTTTGGGGGCTTGAAAGACTCTCCCACTTGGCGCCACAATTTACATGAAGTAACCTGAATGTATAACAAACAAATATAGCAATGAAGTCAAGATGCTTACCGCATAATTGATACTTTGAAATGAGAGAAGCTAGCAACCATTAGTTTCATCCAAGACCAAACTAATTGAACATTATGTAATGAATAGATGTGTAGCATGTCATAAAATTAACAAACAAATAGGAAAGTATCGATTGAAATTAAAAAGGACAATATAGCAATGAATTATCTATATAAAATCAAGGTAAACACCTCTAAACAACATAAGAAAAAGAAAAATAAATAAATAAAGGAGAAACACCTACAATCAAACATACCTGATCATAACCACCCAACCTAGTGACAGCTCTCCACAGTCTACAAAACAGAACAACAGGCATTTGGAGTTATCTTTACGACCATAAACATCAGATTTCTAAAGTCTAGCAGAACGAGTAAAGAGGCCTTGAAAAACTTACTTGAGACAATTCAAGCCCTCTCCATAAAACTTTGGGGGCTTGAATTCCATGCTCCTTTCCTTGAAGAAAGCCTCCAGCTCCCTCATAAATGCAGCTTGCTCCTCCTCTGTACCAGAATCATCACCCTCTACTATTCGAGTATCAAGAGGGAAAGAATGGTTTAAGCCATCTGCATTTACTTCCTGTTTCATAGCCACAGATGGCAAGCAATTTTCCTCAGATTGTCGGACCTCACTCGCATTCCCTTGGGCTCGGATGTCTTCCAAATTATCACCATTTTCATGGTGTGAACCCTTCAATCCATTCTCTTCCTCAATCTTGACATTCTTTGCAAGGTCTCCATTTATGGGATGATAATCTTCATGGGCCACACCAGACTGGTTCAGAACTTGGTCCTCAATAGCTATTGGGGTTCTTACTCCATTGTTTCTATTGTCTAGATTTTGGTCATTGTTTTGAATTAAAGAGTTGGGTTCATCAGAAGGCTCAACAAAAACAGGGGGGCTATCTAATAGAGTTTCTTCTTCAGCTTCAGAGCTATCATCCTCTGAGCTTTCAGATGGGTCTCCAGTCAAATTGGGTTCTTCAATTTGTGTATCAACTTGATTTGGAGTTTCATGTTCTTCCTCTAGTTCTAGTTCCTCATGATCCATTATATGGTTCATTCTGAACCAGAATTCAAGCTTAACCAAAATTCAAACTTCCAAAAATCTTATTGATATATTTGAATACTACCTAAATTATACTATGAATTAACGTTCATCACTCCAAGTATAAAATGCGAATTAAAGTTCATCTACAAAATGCAAATGAAATCTCATGCTTATAATTTTCATATAACAACCAAAAAAAGTGTTCAATACTGAAAACAATAGGTGTTCCCTTTGTGATAGCTTGACTGCACTCAGAATTGAATTTCTGTTGAGTGGCTCAGTTCAGTGACTTTAAAAAATTAGCATAAGGGCACCCCTCTATGTGGCTGAAAACCCATTCTTCCGTACATTTTGCAAATTGTGGTCAGGGATCTAGGGTTAAGAGGTTTTGTGAATTAAAAAGATTTCCAGAGCAAACAAGATCTCACATGATATGAAAGGAACGAGCGGGCCTTCTATACGCCCTAAAACATGCGCCTCAAAGTTCTGGTAACCTTTTAATAGAGTTTCAGATCTTAGAGAAGAAAGCTTGGACCTCCGACAAATTCTTCAATGGAGTTCAGGAAACCTTTTTCGGATTTCTCTGCACCAGAAAAGCCCAAAAATTTACCGATAGCTCCGAATAAACCCTAGAAAACTTCCTTGTACATATTCTGAGATTTTGCATCCAAAACACATGCTATGAATGAAAAGACGCAGGAGTTTCAGAGATATTTTAAATGGTTCCTTTTTAGGGTTTCTCTGCAACGATATGGTGAATGATTAATGACGATGAAATATGGGTAATGGTCAAAACTCAAAATATCCGTATCTTTGCATTGAAATACACTCCTACCCATTCCTTTTAGGAAAATGGTTGAATAGGGCTTGAGACCTATCAAAATAAATAAAGCCTCACCTCATAACCCATCAAAAATTGCAACCTCAAAGGTTAAAAAAACCTATAAATCGATTATCTCAGCTTTAACATTATAATTTTAAATTTTTAAAATAATATATATTACAACAAATCATTTAAATCATCTATTTTACTTTAAAAATAAGGGTTAGCTACCATCATCTATTTTACACTATTATGAAGACTTTTGATGTGAAAGTACTTTCCGGATGAGAATTTGTGATGAGGTTTTATTTTATATTTATAAAGTCATAGCCCTATAAAACCTTAATTCCTTTTTTTTTTTTTTTTTTTTTTTTTTAATAAGAGTTTCGCATGTATTGTACTCCCACGGGAAAATAACGCATAGGTACTCTGCAATCATAAGACCTAATTTGGATGATTTTTTTTGTTCAGTTTTAAATTTTGGGAACTACCCTAAAGTCACTATATTACTATTTTCAAAATAAAATATTTAAATTTTGAGTTTTTAATATTTAGATCTTACCTTTCAAAAATTACATGATCTCAATTCAATCTTGAGACATTATTTTTTAAAAAAGTTTATATAAAGTTGTAGAAATAAAGTTGCAATAATCTACACCACCCATTTTATTTGTACCGTATAAATTGAGCAATATCTTGAAAGATGTATAATGTATTAATATTATTTTAAAAAATATTTTAAATCTATACCGATCAAATAAAATGGCGGTACATAATATTGCAACTTTATTCCTTATTGCAACCTCGTACAAATTGCACCTTATTTCTTTTCTAGTACTTAGATGGTTCGGTTTAGAATTTTATATACTGAAATTAATCTACGGGTTGAAGAGGGAACATTCTCAAAATTTGGGGACTAAAATTACACCTACATTGGGTTTTACCTGAGGGAGTAAATGTACATTACACCCCCACGGGAGTATAAAACCTTTTAGCAATAACCCACGCTCAATGAAAAGTCCTCCACTCCTCTGGTAAGATACACGTACTCGTGATCGGAGGGCATACTTGCTATTGCGGGTTATCACCGTTCAATTACGGACTGGAGGGCGATGGAGAGATGATCCTCAAAAACACGATATAGATTGATGGTCGACCACTCTCTCTCCATCTCCATCCAACCCTTGGATTGGAGGACGATGAGCTATTGATGACATATCCCCTTAGAAAATTATAGAAAATATTTTTCTTGTGCATATGGTACTCCCATTCCTATAGGAACATATTGTAAAACTTAATCCCTTGGGTAGAAACTAGCATAAGAAGATTTCATCGATACAAAATATTAGGAACCACCGAAAAATAATTAGATGATTATATTCATCAGAAAAATCATAATAATAACAAATTTGAGTTTTTTGACACTTAGATCTCACCTTTCAAAATTTTGATTTTTCTATTCAATCTTGAGGTATTTTTTTTCTATAAAAATACTATTTATCTTTTGTATATGAAGGTCACAATCATTCTCACTCATTAGATATCGAATTTGATGACTTAAGGTGAGTCACAAAGTACATGAATTATTTTTTTAGAACTTTGCGTCTATTCAATATCACTCTTACAACTATTCATTTTGAAATTGAAGGGACAAGAATGATCGTGACCTCTATATACAAAAGATAAATAGTTTTTTTGTAGACAATCCCATTATTTTTTTCAATCTTATAGCACATGAATTATGGAGGTTACATCCCAAGATTTGGGGTCATAAAACAACTCTCAAATTGGGTTTTACCCAACGGAGTAAATAGATAGTATACTCCATCGAGATTCCAATAAATCATCGAAATTGATAGCTGATACTACTCGGAAGTAGACTAGAGCAAGCTCATGTGTTACTATCGAGGGAGAGAATATGGTCCCCAACATAAGCCAAAGGAAAAACATATACAAAATGAAAAATGTAAGGTTTATATAAGGTGCCCACCTGCCCACCTTAAATAATCAAAGGGTGCACGTTCAAATTTTGACATATGATACATTTATGGTGCCATAAACTTTGTGACCAATTGACAATATGCTAAATTATAAAATTTTAAACTCAAAAAATAATACAGATGGAAAAAAATTAATATTTAACAAAAAATCTAGAAAATAAATGGTTCAGTTATCGGGTCACATGATGTACTATTTGTATAACTTGTAATCTTTTTTTTTTTTAACCATTTATACATCTTGAGGTATACACGATCAATGAGAAGGTTTTTCAACATCAAAACAGCATTTTCCAATGAGTTTTTGAGTAACACCTCATGTAAACTTCTTCCAAAATAAAAAACACCTAATTATAATTTATGAACTTCTTCCAACTAAAAAACGCCTAATTATAATTATACCATTTTAGTAAATAGATCCACCATATTTATTACAAATAATTAGAGAGCAAATGTTGAACTGCTTGTCAAGCCCTCTTCGCTTATCGATTCCAAATAGATTTATTGACAAAAGCATGGAAATAAAAATATTGATAACATCTCAGTAATTAGTGTAAACTTTATTTTTATGGAAATGTATACAATGAAATTATTTACTTTTGATATAAGAAAGTCACAATATTGTTAAACGTTGAATGTGATATTGGGTGGTTTGTGGATGTACCGTTGATTGGGTATGTAGTCAAAAATAAAATTTCTCAAATGTTGTGACACAATTCAATCTATTAGGTTTCACATCCAATGGCTAAAAATGACTATGACCTCCTTGTATCAAACATAAATGGTCTCATCATACACAATCCCTATTCTTATTATGGGGATCTCAACATTGATGTTTTTCTAAAAATGCCATATTCATAATCTGACATGCCAGATTCACGATATGACAAATTACCAAGGGCTTAACCTAAATCACTTAAATGATGGAGACTATGGGATATAATTTAACCCTCAAGTTCAAAAGTATTTTGGTATTTTTCATCAAAGATATTTTTCTATTGTTTTTATGGACACGTGCATACCCTAAATTTCACTATAAAATAATTTATAAAATGGAAAACAAAAAATAAAAATAGATGAAGTTTATACGGGACATAAGGTTTATGAAAGCAAAATAAAAGCCTCACCTCAAATACTATCCGGAAAGCACTTTGAGCATAATAAATCTTCCTTATGGCTCTAAATAGAAAGAGAGATGAAGTTCATTGAGTTTATACTTTTTGTGTATGGAAAAGTTTATATTGAGCTGAGGCTTTAAACAATCTAATTTTAATCTATCTTAAAATTTTCATAAAAAGAGGTTGTTTTGATACCTAAATATCCTCAAATTGATAATCTCGACATCAAGATGCATGGATACTAGGAAAAAATAGATTTCAAGTTTTGAAAATAGTGTATTTTGTAACACAATTTTTTACCGTCAATTTTCAACTTTTTATAAATCTATTGATCTACACTAATTTTTAAGCTTTAAACTTTATAAATAAAGGTGAAAATATATTTTAAGGCCATCACAATGATTTTCAGTATTGAAACCATATTTCTCGATACTATTTGAAGGTAGGCTCTAATTTGATTGTTCAGAGCCTTGGCTTTATACAAACCGCACCCTTCTTTGTAAGGTTTTGTGTTATATATATATATATATATATATATATATATATATATATATAGAATACTAACTAACTAAACTACTAGTAGGAACGTAAGTA